GGGGGGGGGGGGGGGGTACGCAAAAGACGCCTCCGGTGCTGTCTGTCATCTACCGATTTCTCGCGTTGGTTTCGTATGAGGGGTCAGTGATGGTACTGATCACATGATCACGAAGATCGACAAGAAGACGCAGTACGGCGTTGCAGGGCGTGTGATGCAGTGAGGATCCCGACATGGAAAGGGCCGCATGCCACACTCAAATGTTTCAGCTGCCACACATAGAACATCAGTGCATCTACACATACATACATACATACATACATACAAGACAGACAGACAGACAGACAGACAGACAGACAGACAGACAGACAGACAGACAGACAGACAGACAGACAGACAGACAGACGGGCGGTCGCTGCGTGCACCTGCATGACGAGCGGCCTGTGCAGCCTGTCATTTGAAGTGGGGACAGAACAATCACTACCGTCGCCCCCCGCCCCGCCCTCCCCACCCCCGCCCTCGGCTCCGGCGCTCCCGGGACCTTCCCCTCCAGCCACGAACCCGTCGATACCAGCAGGCAGCGGTCGAACGAAGAATGTCGTCAGATCTACGTAGATGCCTCCGAACTTGTAGAGCTCCAACAGCGCCAGGTAGACCGTGACATAGGCGTCCGGAACCGCCTCTTCCACCGCCTGAGGTTTCCATGCGGGGGGAAAGGGATGGGCACGGTGGATAAAGATGCAAAAAATTAAACGGCGAATAATTAAAAAACGTTAACGAAGGCCGGAAGAAAAACTGCGGGCCATGGTTTAGTCCATTTCAGGTGTGCAGGCATTTGATGTCACCAGAGGACGAAGACGCCAAGCACGGACAAAAAAAAAAAAAAGACAAGTGTACACAAGAGCACAACAGAAGGACGGGAGCAATCCAATCCAAGCTTTGTTCTGCGTTCGACGGGAAACAAAAACACATCACCTGACAGCAGCCTTCGCACGTTCTATGAAGCAAACGTGCTGGATAAAGCATACAATCGGGGAACTTGGGTTAGGGTGAGGGCTAGGGAATACGGTCTGCGTACCCCCCCTCCCTGCTCTACTTCCTCATAAACTAGGAAGGTGGTCCTCACCTGGAAAGTGGAGATCTTCATTCCTTGGCCGTAGAGCAAGGTGTCTTCATGACGACGCCACCACTTGTGCCCCGGAATCATCCTCCCGTTCAACTTCACGGTACCTAGCGCCTTCCCGAAGTATATCTCCACCTATGCACATGACAGTTAAATGTGTATTTTTGATAGCATAACGTTCGTCTTCACGGTAGCGAGCGCCTCGCGAAGTATATCTCCACCTATGCACATGACAGTTAAATGTGTAATTTTGATAGCATAACGTTCGTCTTCACGGTAGCGAGAGCCTTCGCGAAGTATATCTCCACCTACGCACATGATAGTTGATACCATGTATTTTTGATAGCATAACGTTCGTCTTCACGGTAGCGAGCGCCTTCGCCAAGTATATCTCCAACTATGCAAATGATAACTTAACATGTACTATTGATAGCATAACACCGCCCGTTCATCTGTTCATTTTCACGCTAGCGAGCGCCTTCCCGAAGTATATCTCCACCTACGCACATGATAGTATTAGTAAGAACGTATTATTGATAGCAAAATGCAGCCCGTCATCATGGAATTCATCGCGGGAAAGGGAGCATAATGGCGGGCAGAGAACGTGAACAAGTGTGGGTCGATGACAGGTGGTGTATTGGAAGAAGATTGTAGGATCCACGCGGGAGAACTGATCCTTAGAAAATGTTCGGAAGAACCACGGGAACTCTGGGAGCAAAAAAAAAACGAAAAGGAGGGATTCGCCCTCCAAATAGATGGCACGGGGAACGTGAGCCGTTGACATGGTAGGAAAAAACCAGAAAAAACGAGCAATTTTCACACTTTTTAGTGTCACTTAATAACATCAATACAAAAAAACACTATTTAGAGCACTAAGTACGACCACCAATTCTCAAGGTCACAATAAAAAAATGTCTCAACGTGTCGACCGCGAACTAGACATGTCAATCAAACACATGGTTTGTACGTGTAGGGGGGACAAAAACGCCGTGTGTGTGTGTAGGGGGGGGGGAGTCGTTTGTTCGCACAGCGCACCTTGACGTCGTAACCCCTCTTGCTGTACTTCTGGAACTGCGTGAGAGCGAGGATGTTTGCCCACTTGTAAAAGAACGCGAACCGCGGTCCTGGTTTTCGTAGATCACCCGTGTTCGTAGATCGCCCATGTTTGCAGATCACCAGTGTTCGGAGATGGCCCGTGTTCGTCGATCACCCGTGTTCGTAGATCACCACGTGTTCGTAGATCGCCCGTGTTCGTCGATCACCCGTGTTCGTAGATCGCCCGTGTTGGTAGATCGCCCGTGTTCGTCGATCACCCGTGTTCGTAGATCGCCCGTGTTGGTAGATCGCCCGTGTTCATAGATCGCCCGTGTTCGTAGATCGCCCGTGTTCGTAGATCGCCCGTGTTTCGAGATCACCAGTGTTCGGAGATCAGCCGCCGGCCCAGATCACCCAGTGATTGTGCGAAAAACGTGCGTGCATCAAACAGGTTGGGTTAGAGCAGACTGGGGCGAGTTGGCTTTGTTGAGTCTAGGCGGAGCACGAGTTGACTGATGGCAAGTCGAGGAGACACGAGATACGAGGAAACTAGATGTGTTGTCTAGGGTAGTGGCAACGGGGTCTGCCGTTGGGCACCCAAAAAATACCATGACGGGACCCTCGCCACCTCCCCCAAGAAAAGGTCTCATGTCGTTACACCACATTGAATTCAAGAAGAGGAGGAGGGTTAACCTATAGTCCAATACAATGTAGTCCCTTGTGGCAAAAAAAAAGCAAAAAGGCCCTTCTCTTCCTCCCCGGTTTCTTGTGCCCAATCTCCCGCCGAAAAAAACACCTACAGACTCACCGACGGTTATTACTCTGACGCGCGCCCCTGGGTAGACGTGGATGATGCTCTCTAGCGCACGGTAACCGTAGAGGGTAAGCTTAGGGGCCCCGAACCCCCATCCCACGAGAACTTTCGGCTGCCCCGCCGGGTTGGCAGTCGTTCTCGGCAGGCACCCTTTGTCGTTGGCAGGGGTTTGGTAGAAGTGCGGTAAAGGTAGCATGGGATGGAGGGAAACGTATGCAGGTAAGGTCATGGCAAACGTTGAACAGGGTAGACGCTTATGTAGTACACACTATAAAGAGGGATGCATGCAGGTCGTCGCAAAAGTTGAACCTGGAGGTTGTTTTCATCCATCGCACAGTAGGGTAACAGACGTATGGCTCACGTACCACAGATGGTATGCAAAAATACAATTACTGAATTTGGTCCACCGTCCGTGCATTTTCGAACTGAAACCGCCTGAAAATAATTTTTCTGAACATCGTGGTGGGGATGGCGTATCACGCGGCGGTGCTCCAAGAGTCGCACAGCTGCAAAGGGAAAGAATAGGGCGGCGGCCAATAACATGGCGAACTATGGCGTGTCGGCCCCAGGCGTTCCACATGAATCCAGTCCTGAAAACGGAACAGAATGCGCCAAAAGGCGCGATAACACATAAGAACGATGGCATTTACACCTACTGGTGTTTCGCTCTCAGAGCACAAATGGGCGCCAACGTTTCACCTATAGGGTCCGGTCCTAGCGGCGCCCATTCCTCCAAGTCGTCCAAGGGGACCTCTCCCCACCCTGCTTCATACTGCCATCTCTCCCTGGCAAATTGGGGGGGGGGGGGAGGAGTCAGGCGACGATAAGTGGGTGTGGGGTGGGTGTGCTCATAGTCGTGCATGCCGTAGTCGTTAGACCATTGACCTCGCATCCCTACAAAGCCGGGACGGAGCACGCCGGGTTCTCACCGGACCAGGCTCTGGGGGGGGGTGGGGTAAGACCGGGGGTACGGAGCATAACATGTCGTCGAGTAGGGGGGAGGGTGCGCTGCTGGTGTGTTGAGAGAGGGAAACGTGCACCCACGGGTGAAGAGACCATGTAATGTTTTCCCTCCACGGTGAAAGTCTATCGTCCTGGTAGAACTGCTCTCGTATGGACCTACACGGCACAACTACCGCTGCTGCCAAGGACATCTCACAATGTTCCCGGCGGCAGCCCCTCCCGACTACTAGCAGCACGGCCCAGCACACCCAAAACAACGGCAACGTGTACGATACTTCGAAGTATATGTTTCGGCGACAATACGGCGGCAAGCAGACCCGTAGGACGAAACGGATGGACAAGATCGACGTGAAAACTCGGCCGTAATAAATAGAACAAGATCGTTGTATTGACGAGGTTCGAAACGAGATTCAAAAGCATTGTTTGCCTCTGGATTTCGGGACTGGGCCATAGACAACAACAGCAATAACGACAACAACGAGACCAACAACAACCAGACTGGCTGAACATACGACCAGAAGACGCACGCACCTCTCACTCAGTGCCGTCCCGTTCCTGCCCAAGAACTCAACCCCTCCTCCTCGCGGGTACTCCTCGATCGAAGCACGTCCCCCGTTGTCGCCCCCACGACCATCGCCGCCGCCGCCACCACCGCCGCCACCACCGCCGCCACCGCCACCGCCGCCGCCGCTCCCCACGGATGTGGTGGGTTTGGCGCTGCTGTTGTAGTAGACTAGCACCGTCAGGATGATGCAGGAGAGCATCAGCACCTGCGGCGGCGGCCGCGAGATGCACGGTTTCGAGGGAGAATTGGCAAGGCAAAGGATAGGGATTCCGTTTTTTTTGTCCGTTGCAAGACGCGTGAAGGCTAGCACCGCAGTGTAGGGGTCCTCAGGGAGAGTTGCCCTTCTCTGTGACTGGCCACGGATTGGAACTTCTACCCGGCAGGAATGCTCCGTGTGAGCGCTGATAATAAAGTGAAAAACATAACACTAAAAGAAAAATAGCTCACCCGAGGAAGAGGACTCAACGAACAAGTGTATTGTTGGGGATTCATTTCACTTCGAATGAAAGGAAAACATTACTCTCAGCATGAACTGCTGTGCTGACGTCACTTCCTCGTCAGAAAAAAAGAAACACCAGCGAAAGGAATCAACGAACAAAAAAAAAAGCGATTCTCGTCCAAAGGGAGATCCTTGATACACACTTGTAGACGCCGCTCTTTCAGCATGAACCGCGACTACCGCAAAACACACAAGCAAGTATTTTTGGCGGACCGATCTCCAACGCAAAATTCTGATCCGCAGCCCGCGCCTGATGTGTCCTCACCAAAACACAAAACTAAAATATGGTACAACAACACCAAAATGACATTAACATACAGCAGTTACAATTACACGGGGGGGGGGCTACGCGTAGACAAACACAATCGAAGGACAAGGTGAAGCCGAGTAAATCACGGGGGAGATGACAAAAACGGGCAGCAAGATAACTCCGGGACTGAACGTGATATGGAGGTGGCAGGAGTATCTTCAACGTCATGAATGTATTGCCTTCCATCGCGTACCCTTTCCCCTCAATGTGGCACATTTGATGGACGTTATGCTATTGCCTATTATAGTATGTTCGACACTCGGATGAGTGCCTTTTCCCGCGTCGGCGCTAGAGAGAGTCTAACCGGCGAGAACTTGACAAGGAATATTCATATTAGATAGTACTCCGGCATTGTCAGCAGGGTTGTGGGGGGATATGTACGTCTTGGAGTACTGAATGGGGGACACAGGTAGGTATTTATCATCTTTACCTTGATCTTGAACCCCACCACACACAGTTCCAATTGCACAGCAGTGTTAAGTAACTGTGGGGAAAATGGCATTGAGGCAGTGCAAATCCGACGATAACCGAAGGAGGGGAAGGATGGAGAATCTTGCGATTTTCTGACACCTTGATCGGTCACCGTGGATCCTCATATTTCATTTTGCTTGGCATCGCGCGTCGTGTGTGGGAAAGGTCGGCGCTGCTGTGTATCGATCCGCCCTTATCGATCTTGATCGTGTCCACCGTGCCGCCTTGTAACGCGAAATCTAGTTGGGAATCATCGTGTGTCATTTTACTTGTGCACACTACCTTTTTTGGGGTAAGTTAGCATGTGACATGGGCAGCGAGATCGGAACGGTTGTTAACGTGAAGACAACAACAACAACAACAACAACAACAACAACAACAACAACAACAACAGCAACACTAGACTAATAGTTTGGTCGCGACTTACGGTGATCATCTGTGGGTCCCTTTTTCGCTTAGATTGCATAAGGTACCACACCTCCTGGATCGATTTTCCAAGCTCGATTCCTCCGCGGCAAGACGCGGCAGGCGTGGTGCCACAAACGGTGCCGCTGTGGAACCGTCTCGTCGAAACCATTCCGAAAACGCGTCCCATGGTAATTCATACTCTGGCATCCCGTTATTGGTGGAAGATCGACCCGTGAAACTCGGTCCACGGGGGGTGCGCTCATGTAAACGCATGCTGCAGTCGCTGGACCATTGACCTCGCATCTCTACAACGTCGGGACGGAGCGATATGCCGGGTTTTCGCCGGCCCAGGTTACGTTTCACAAGGATGAACCGTTGGACCAGGGGGGGGGGGTGGTATCTCAAGCAACGAATGCAGCATACTTAGTAGTCTATTCGACTGTCGTCAAAGATGTACCCTTTCTGTGGGGAGTGAGCCTGCCATCGCGGGCATTGTCCGTGTCGGTCACACGAGTACAGGTGTTAGAAGGTACATCGGCAAAGATCGGAACTGTTATCATCTTTTAAATGTGAAGACATCTGAACAAAACTGCTGTACTGCCGTACAATCATGAAGGCATGGACGCATGAACATCAACATTCCTTGAGCGAGTGCGAGTGGTGGTGTATGTCGAGTTTGCGGAGAAACGGGAAAAAGTTTATTTGTACACACTGCTGTTGCGAAGGAGAAGAAACGCGGGCTCGTCTTCGCGTCAAGCGCAATCTTTGCCGCTAGTTATGTCTGGGATAAGCCTGATGGAGAGCCGTGGAGACGCTCCGCCGCGCTGTATCCCAAACAGCTACAATACCTGTATCTATGCATAGGAACAACAGGTGCCTGTGCGCAAGTTGTTTAGCCGTCATTGCCCACTAATACATCTCTCGTTTGAGCTCCATGGGTGGTCACCCATGCAGGATAAGCCACAAAACATAAAGCGACTCATCTTTGCTGCAACCATGGCAAAGCCACGCCCATACTGCCCTCGTTCATCGCATCCGCAGCACGCGGTGATGACTTTGACGTGCTGCTCGATTATGGGTGCGGAAAAAGAGCAAAATATGGAAAATACCTTGGGTGTCGTCCATATGCTGCGATTCCCAGCTGCACCCCGAGCATTCTGCTGGCTGCTGCTGCTGCTAGCCGAGGCTCTCCTCCTGCGCCTCCCCGCGGATCTAGGCGGCCTTCGCGAGGCTACGTTGCGGTGCATCGTCCACTGCTGCTGCTGCTGCTGCTCCTGTGCACGACAGCACGGCAGGTAGCAGCTCTCAACTCGGCTCTCTCTGTTGTTTCTTTTCCCAGATAGGAATTGGGATGGGCCAGGGTATCAAAGTTTGCAGTTCGCAGGGTCCCTCGATCCCTCTGCTGCCTGCGCGCCGCGTCCAGAAGCATCATCTCCGCACTCCCGGGCCACGGCGAGAGGGAAGAGGGCGCTGGAGGATGGATCAATCCAAGCTCGCCGTGCTGGGAACTGTTGGCCTGGTGGCTACGGCAGCCGTATGCTGCGCAATCGTCTTCTCTGGGTAAGAAGAAGTGGCTCCACCGCTGTGATTGTGTTTTCATCTCGTCCATTGCCCTGCGTAACAGCATCCTATCTTGACAAGGACCCCCGCGGACCCACCCGCCCGCTGGCGTCTAGACTATGCGTATCCCGTCTTGATGCGGTGTCAGCTCTAAGCCTACGCCTCTTTCGCGTTCGAATCGCTCGTTAGGCATGTATTATCCTCTCGTAAGTCACACACCTATTTAGTCTACAAATAGTTGGTGGGTGCAGCAGCAGTACATGGAAGGATTGGAGAGACCACCCCCGCCTGTACGGTAGCGAGCTTACAGGGCGGGCGCCTTTTGCCCTCTCTTTCGAAGAAGGTCGTGCGTGCCTCATCTCTCACTCCGTAGTGCGTTTGGAAGCCCTCCTACCTATAACCCCCTCCGTACATGTATATGCGCAAGACAGATGTGACCTGTAGAGCCAGCTCTCCTTCCCCACGCGGCTCTGCTCGTGAGCTCAGCTGGCGTCCGTGTGACCCCGCGATGGGTACAGTAGTCAATCCCCCCACACACTCGAGAAACGACGTCGCAACTGCTGCATGTCTCTGTGGACCCCAGGCAGCTCTGGGGTGTTATGGCTGTGTGGTGTAACTGAAGGGACGATCGCGCATGCTCATATGCAGCAAGCGCAACAACGTTGGGCGAAATGTGCAAGTGCACAAGAACGTCAAAGAAGGGCGTGAGATCGATTTTTTGAAGATGGGTTGCTCTCGTACATACCACCGATGTGGGTGCTATCGAAACATAAACATCGAGACCCGACCGGACTCGTGCAAGGACAGACAGCTCTCGGCGAAATATTTCTAGATCTTTTCCAACGCCACCGTTTTCGGCATTGGCAGCCTCTTGGTTGTTGAGACATCAAGCTAAAAAAAATCGATCAATGGCTGCACGTGTTGTGCCTTGGCCAGCACTCTCGACTCTCGACCCTTTCGACTACGGCCTGCGGTGTATTTTGCAAGTTCAAGGCGGTCAAGGCAGTGGTGGAAAAGCAGGCGATGCAAGACATGACGACTCGGTACAGAGGGCATTGCAACCCTACAGAACAGATGCCAACACTACACTAGCTGTGACGCTGCGTGGTCTTTCGCCTGCCTAGGGCGATGACCGTTAGCTGGCCGCTACTGCTGTGCCAACCCAGTTAGCCATCCCCCGTAGGGGCGCCGCGGATTGGAACGCGACCCATGTGCGCAACGGTTTTACAGCAGTTTGTCACGGCGAAATACTGGCATTTTTTCGTCGGTGAGCCGCTTGGCGCGGTCGAGGCACTCTGTTTGCCAACCGAGGTTTTGTTGTACTTCCATCAAACGCGAAAACGCTGTGTGTGTGTCGCTCCGAGTGCAAACAGAGCGAATCGGGTGACATCACACACTTATACACGTGTAGAGCCGCTTGACCCATGCTAGGCGAGGTGTGAATGGGACGGGTTGCTTCTGTTGGTTTGCCGGTGTGTTGGTTCATCTCTTATACGGCTCTCATGTGTCACGAATGCATACTGTTAAGAGAGAACGCGAAAATGAAAAGTATCGGATTCACTGCGTGGCAGTATCACGAAAGCGTTGAGTTATGCACACAGCAGTACCAACACACAGCAGTAACCTTGGGATGCTCCTTAACAACAGCAGCAGGCATCAACCCACCTGCCACGCAACACACGTACAACAGCAGCACCGAAGGTTGCATAAGATATCACACTCCCTGGATCGGCGTCTAAGCTCGATATCTCGGCAGGGAAAGCGGCGGCGGTGCCGAAAAAATGGCGTTAGGCGTTGGAACCGTCTCGTCGAAAACTTTTCGAAAACGTAAACTTCAGTGCCAGCGCTCTCTTCGTCGTGGAGAAGTCGAGACTTGAGAGAATCGGTGCAGAAGGTGTGGTATCTTCTGCAACCTACGGTAAAGTGGTACCATCAACACTAATAAAACACATGTCCAAAACAGCAGTACGTGGCGGTATCAGCCCCTTCCACAACACAACCTCTCATCACCTTCTCCGACAATACCACCACCCCTTGCAACTACCGCCCTTCTCCCGCAGGCGTTTCAGCTTCGCCGGATCATCCACTGGGAAACCCTTCGCTAGTTCTCCCGGCACCACCGCCGACGCACAAGGGGTGGCCGCCTCCAACAAAGTCATCGACGACGAGGATGACAAGGACAAGCTTACGGGTGGGGTTTCCACCGAAAAGGGGACGGGAAAAGGCGACAGCGGGGGCGGGGACGGTTCGCGGGCAGCCCCTGGTTCTGGCGGTGCCTCTGTGCCGGCGGCGGAGGCGGCGGCTGCGCGGGGGGTTGCTGTGGGGCAAGGGAAGGCTGAGGATGGGGAAGCGCTTATTGTGGTGAGTGCTCGATGTCAGCGGGGGGATTGAACACGGGGCGTGTTGAGAGGCAGCAGAAAGCCGCAACGCAGCGTTGTGTGTGTCGGTTCTAAGCCAGCTAGGATAGGACAAGCGACAAGAAAATAACGAGAAAGATGAGCATTTTTGATGGAGACTTAACGCAAGAAAAAAGCGGGGGAATGACCACGGCGGACGTACTCAACAGCAATACTTGCAGCAGCAGCAGCAGCTGGTTTTGCAACAAAGGGTGCCTATCGCGACTGCAGTATGTACCAGCAGTTGGACTGGCCATACGGAAGACAATTAAATGAAGAATATAAGGGAGGCATCGGGTCCAACAAGTTCATTTCTGCGGCTTGTTCTTCGCGGATACGATGTACATGCATGTTCTTGCTTTCCTTGGGATTAAAGTGACTGAAAGGGATGGAGAGGGGGTATTGGCGCCCTTGGATGGAGGTTTCCGTGCTCTTTTTTTTTCCCCCTCTTTCCCCCACGTACCTTGTGCATATGTATCTCCTCCCCAAAACCAAAAGTTGAACACAAATAAAGAAATCTCAAACACATGCATGTTGTCGTGTTGACCGGTATTTACTGGTGCAAGCACCGTCTGTGTGTGACCACGGATTGGAGATAGCTCCTACCCGCCAGAAGTGCTGCTTGTGAGCGCTGATACAACATACTAGGAAATTTGTACGGCGTCATGTTTTCTATTTGCGCTCCCCCCTGACCCGCGCCGCCGAAAAAACTTCAGCGGTTTAACCGTGCCAACTCCAAGGCGAAGAAACTCTTCACCGGCCAGAGGTACGCTCTTGCCGCCGAGCAGTACGGCATCGCCCTCGAGCTCTGCGACGAGCTGCCCAACCACGACAACAAGCGCACGGCCCTCCACAACAACAGGTTCGTCTCGAGCGGCAACCTCGTGGTGCTTTTTTGCGCGCTTCATGTTCACGCGTTCGGGTCCATTTTTTTGTTCGTATACCTTTTTTTGGGTAAGTTTGCCTGTGACCACGGGAATCGACCCCGTCAAGTGTTAGACTGTTATAGTACGGACAGAAGAAGGAACTAGGCAGAGAGAACGGAACGGTTTTGTTGTGAAGACAACAACATGTTCGTGCCCGCCTGAAAGCCCAGGTTGTAACCTGCAGCCTTTGTTGATTTAGTCTGAGTTGGGCCAACCGTGGTTTTCAGATGTTGTCTTTGTCGAGGGTCGCACGGGCACTGCTGTATTGGGGATTTGCATTCAGCAGTTGGGTTGGACCAGCCGTGTTCGCGACCACGGGGTGTTATTTCTTACCGGCTGGGCTTGAACGGAAGCTACCGAAGATTTTGATCGGGCATAGAGCCCCGACAATCAGGATCAAAGATATCAGGAGGCTGTTTTTTTTTTTTGTCATATGTTTGAAGTAGTTTTTTCGGTTTCGAGGAGGACGTATACCAGATTCAGGGAAGACAAGATAGACAGCAACAGCAGCAGCAGCAGCAACGGCAATAACACAAATGTCAACGACGACCACACCCCACAAACACTGGCCAGGGGGGCGGCCTATGAGAAAGACGGTCAGTACGCCCTTGCCCTGGCGGACTGCTCGATGTGCCTCTCCCGGGAGGTCGGGCACAAGTTCGCCCGCGTCCGCAAGTCCCGCGTGCTGGAGGCGATGGGCAAGCACGAGGAGGCCCTGAGCGAGGTCTGCGCGCACCTGCTGCTGGAGAGGGATCGCGTCCAGGCAAAGGTTGGTCCTGGTTGAGAAGAATAAATCTGTGTTTCGTCCTAGTTTACTATTTGACAAGAATTTAAGGGCGTGTTTCTTGAGGGATCGCGTACAGGCAAACGTCCGTCTTGATTCAGAATAGTAATAATTCATCCGTGTTTCAATGCATTTTTGGAAAACCAATCCGTGGTTTTTCTGGTGGAAGGTACTTCTTTGTTTGTTGCGTGACGGATGTACAGTAGCGCGGAGCTTTTGTTGCCCTCGCCGTGTGTACTGGTGTGCAGCTGGGGCAAGGAATGGTAGGGGAATGGCTGGGACGTTTTCGGGGCGCAAACGTGTTTGCTTGAGGAGGGTCGCAACACGGACCACAACGGGCCTGGTCATGTTAGTTCTTGTGGGTTTGGCTTTCTGTCGCTACGTCGTTTTTGTCTCCCTGGGTGCCACGGATCCCTCGTTTGCCTCCTTCGAAGGCGTGCCCTCGGTTGGACGACTCGTCTCTTCTGTTCGCCTTCGTCTGTAGTTTGTCTCACGCTTTTTGGGCTCTTCGTTTGTGGTCTCCCGGTTGGACGGCAGTTTTTTGCCCTCCCCTTCCCTGACCCCGCCGCTCGACTCGCCCCCCTCTTTGTCCCATGAAACCAACTCCTTACCCCTTAACTGCCGTAACTGCTCAGGCGGCGTTGAACCCATCGGAACCGCTGACGCCTCCCGCGCCTCCAGCAAACCTCGAAGGTCTTCTACAAAAGGTACATACGACGTCACCTCTGATTTTTTTTTGTTACGGCATGGCGTTTCAGGATAGCAGTTTGGTCACCTTTCGTGCTAGGTGCTGTTGTGCTGGGATCGATGCGAGCCCTTTCTTCGACCGTGCCGGCTGCTGTAGCGTGTGATGTTGTCGTTTTGTTTGCCTGGTATGCACGTGCGCTCCACGTGTTGTCGTTCTCGTGAAACCAACGCAGTCGAGCTGCTGATTGCACTGAATAGGGCGGGGGAGAATCGGCGTCCGGCAACCTCGCCCTACAGCGGGCCCCAACAATGATAATTGCAGAATGTCGGCATCAACAAAAATGTGTTTAGCGCACACGCAAGTAAGTCCCCGCTAGTACTGCAATCCCACACGGACGCCCGCGCCAACACACGGAGGGCCTACAAGTACGACAATTACATTATCTGGCTACAACAGAAAACTGTTTCACACACGCACATCCCCCTAACATGTACAATACACCCCGCACGCCGCCCTCGCCAACACTACAACGACTCACGCGAAAGGTGGCCTCGAAACGAGCGGACGCCATCCTGCTAGAGAGGGAACAGACAGCCGAGAAGCAGGAGGCGGCGGCGGCAGGCGGTGCCGGGACGGGGACAGAAAAGCTCAAGCCCCTGGTGAAGCAGGTCGTGATGGAACTCCTCCGGAGCTTCGGGTCGTTCGCCCAGCTCGAGGTACGATGATGCGTTGGCTTTGCGAAAGCTGCGGTGGGGCTGTGCCGAAGCAAGGGTGGTGAGCCACGGCGCGGTAGAGTGTCGGGTGGTATCGAAGAACCTGTAAGGGCTCGCGCACGTAGGACGGATGTGTTGGAAAGACGCGGGAATCACCTCTTATTGTTTGGGTGCAGTGCAGCAGCGGTATCGTCAGAGGCTGAATTGAGAAGAGAACAGAAGGTTGTCTCTCAAGACCTTTGACATGATTAACGAGTTACACACGCGGGCAAAGCCTCCATCGGTTTAACGTGGTCAGCAAGTCACACACAGCGTATCGCACTTTCTGGGGGGCCCGCCATTTCATATACCCCACGGTCCCCGGAGCATGAGCGTCGGGTTCCGAGTATACAGCCCAAAACACAAACCTTGACTCGAAATTCCCAAGGGTTATTGTCATACATGACGAGCGTTGGCAGTCACGGGTGAGTTCTTCCCAACGTGGCAAGCTTAACCTTGTGCGCCCCCTCAAGACATTGGCCTGGCGAACCACTGGTTGTGTGCGATATTGATCCGCTGGCACTCAGAAAGCTAAAGGGGTGAATGCTAATGCTTGCTTTGATCCGAAAAGGTTAAGGTTAGACGAAATGGTTCGAAAGACCGTCGTGGCCTCCTGAACAGGAGTTGAAGGTACTTTCTAATCCCTGAGAAAAGCAAAAGCAGTTCAGTCACGAGGGCATGTTTGCCTTGAACGAAAATTGACGGCTACTATGCCTTCATTTCGAATCAATAAAATACAGGGATGTTGTGTTTGTCAAGTGCATCTATTTCGATCGCGAATTGCAAGAATTGCGTACCCATCAATGCAGTACGCCCTGCGTTCTAATGGATGGACGGTTATGTGTGCCGTTGTTTTTGCTGCTGCTGTTTTTGCTGCTGCTGCTGCTGTTGCTGCTGCTGCTGTTGCTGATGCTGCTGTCGTCATTGACGTTTCTGTTTTTTTTTTCATATTGTTATTGCAGCGACGGTACAAGGGCATGGAAGAGACGGCGATCACGCGGGAGTTGAAGGACGCCGAGAAGGCCGGCAAGGAAGGGGATGGGTCCGCCTCTGCCACTACCACTAGTGCCTCGAGGGTGTCCTCCCTTCTTGACCGCGGCCTTCTCCGTATGGTCAAGCGTAACTACGACGGCGCAAGAGAGGTGTGTACGGTAGGGGTCCCTCAATAGTGCCGGTTGAGCAACGCCACGATTGTAGTGCCGGTTGAGTAACGCCAAGATTGTAGTGCCGGTTGGTGGCACTGCTGTAGATACCACACCCCGGACCGAGATTCAAAGCTCGATTATCGATTATGTACTCCACAATGCACGGGGATGTTATAGGAGGGCACCCCCCCCCCCCCCCCCCCCCCCCC